AAACAATAAAACTAACGGTGAAAAAAGATTTTCCGATAAAACAACCAATTCCGTTATATTTTCCGTTAAAACAAGAATTTCCGTTTCATAAGCACTTTTTATATATAGCAGATATAATTTTTTTTTATTCTTTTTTTTTTTAATTTTATCTCTCCTACAATTCTCATAATGTGTGAGGTGACGAGCTAAAGTTGAACTATAGTCATTTCTCATGTAATAGTGGCCATCATTTTCATTATTTATAAATTCACTTCACCAAACATGTTAATGCTTAAAATAATTTAACTTTCAATCCCTGTTTATGTGAGCACTAAAGTGCCGATTTCACTCCGATATAATGTCATAAAATGAAAAGAATAGTACTATCAAAAGAATTTCTGAAGTCCCATTTCACATGAATTACTGTGAATTCGCTTGAGCATCTGGGCAGACTTACTGCTTTGCAATATTGGCTGTAGCTCACTGCGAAGCTGGGCAAAATAATAAATAAATTATTTTATCTTTTGTTTCATCAAATTAGTTCCATTTTTTTTATTTTATAAAATTGGCCCAAAAAAATCGTGCCCACATTTGTTTTTTAAATTTTATCCACGATTAAGTCATGCTTTTTTTCTTTTGGAAAACATTTTTCAACAAAATAATTAAATAATGGCAAGTGCTTAGCACTAATGTTATATATACTTCCTTTTCATATGTGTGAACATGCAATCTTTTAATCAAAAAATGTAGTTTTCATTCATTTCTTCCTCCCCTTACTGGTCTGATCTTCTTCTATCTATTCTTTTATCTTTATCCTTCAATATTTTAGTCCATGGAGTATGCATTTTCTTGGTGGATCCTCATCTTCTTATTTTTAATCATGATTATCATTTTAGCCCTTTTCATCCTGAAGAAAAGGGTTTATTGCAACTGTGAGATTTGTCAAACTTACATTAATTCAAGTTGGAAAATCCAATTTGATAATCTCTGTGATTGGTACACTCATTTGCTTCAAAAATCTCCCACTCGTACAATTCATATTCACGTTCTTGGTAATACTATAACAGCAAATCCCGACAACGTTGAATATATGCTAAAAACCAGGTTTGACAATTTCCCAAAAGGCAAACCTTTTTCTGCAATCTTGGCTGATTTCTTGGGCAGGGGCATATTCAACGTGGATGGTGACTTGTGGAGGTTTCAAAGAAAAATGACCAGTCTTGAACTCGGTCGTGTGTCGGTACAAAAAAACGCTTTTGAAGTTGTTCGTCAAGAGATTGATCAACGGCTGTTACCTCTTTTAGCATCTGTCGCAGGTACAGAAGATGAGATCTTGGATATACAAGATGTTTTTAAAAGATTTTCGTTTGATAGTATTTGCAGAGTTTCATTTGGTTTGGACCCAAAATGTCTTGATCTGTCCCTCCCCATAACAAAATTTGCCGCCGCCTTCGACCTAGCATCAAAACTGTCAGCCGAAAGAGCCATGACTGCGTCGCCACTTCTTTGGAAGATGAAGAGATTGTTTAATATTGGAAGCGAGAGAAAACTCAAGCAGGCAATCAATATAATCAATATGTTAGCGCAGGAAGTCATTAGGCAACGGCGAAAATTCAGGTTTTCCGAGGAGAAAGATCTTCTGTCAAGATTTATGGGTACCGTTACTGATGAAAAGTACCTTAGGGATGTTGTGATTAGTTTCCTTTTGGCTGGCCGTGACACAGTGGCGTCTGCCTTGACGAGTTTTTTCTGGTTGATGGCAAAGCACCCCGAGGTGGAAGCCGCTATTCTGGTCGAGGCTGATCGAGTAATTGGCGAAAACAAAGAACTCACAAGCTACAAAAAACTCAAGGAACTTCACTATTTGCATGCTGCAGTATATGAGAGCATGAGATTGTATCCACCAATCCAATTTGATTCAAAATTCTGTTTAGAAGATGATCTTTTGCCTGATGGTACTTCTGTGAAAAAGGGCACTAGGGTTACTTACCATCCCTATGCAATGGGCAGAATGGAAGAGATTTGGGGGTCGGATTGCACGGAATTCAAGCCAGAAAGATGGTTGAAGAACGACGGCCTTTTCTTTCAAGAAAACCCTTTTAAGTACCCAGTTTTTCAAGCTGGAGTTAGGGTATGTTTAGGTAAAGAAATGGCACTTGTGGAGCTCAAAAGTGTTGCACTTTCATTGCTGAGGAGATTTCGTATCGAGCTAGCCCAACCGCAGCCCACTCCCCGTTTCTCTCCCGGCCTCACTGCCACTTTTCGGGGTGGTGTACCAGTCTTGGTCCGACCACGTAGAGCGCCATCCTAGTACACTTCGAGAATTACACAGAGAGCATGTTCAGCACACGTTACTACACAGCCGAACGGTATATAGTAATTCTTCAGTTTATACTATCTAGTGATTCAAGCATGCCCATATTGTACAAACCTTAAATTAAAAGAATCCATGAGTAGAAAAAACCATGATTTCTACATCAAGATGCCTAATCCAGGATGTTTAATTATAACCAGTATTTGTAAATTTTAGTGCTGTTTTTTCATGCAAAGATTGGTTGGCGGTTGGCCACTTTACTACCAACTAAAGTCTATGGCTCAATGCTTTTGATGGATGATATGGAGGGTTTTCACTTTTGAGGTCAAATGTCCTTGTCCTCTCTAGATTCTCTAAATCTGGTTGTGCGTATGAAATGGATAATGCTGCTTTACTAGGGCCTCGTGGATCCTGGTAGTGCCGGGGGTAGTTGGCCCCTGGGACGGGGGGGGAGAGAAATTTGGTACTAACAACAGGATATGAAATTTTATAGAAGAATCATGCTATAGTCATCTCCCGTCACCCTAAGATTTTGACACTGCTTCTAACATTATTCTTGTGTCAAAGTGGTAACCCAATTGCAAATGTGCATTAAAGTAATGTCTGTTAATGTACAGAAATGTTCATAGGTAAGATGTACCATGTATCCTTTGAAGTGAAAACATGTGGAAATGCCAAATAATTGAAACTTCCTTTTGCTGTTTCTTCGTGATCGAATTGAATGACTATTACAAAATTATATACGTCTAAGTTAGCGATATAGTTCTAGAAGGAAGCCTTCAACGCTCTACTTAACTGGGGCTTTGCATACGATAGCCAAAGTACAATTCGACAATTAACATGATATATTTGCTTACATTACAGATGAAGGTCAAGATTCGTAGGAAAACACTGGGGGCATTCACAAAAGATATGGAAAGAGTCAATTTCCTGATATTAAATTAAAACTATGTGAGACAATCGATGTATTTTCAAGATGTTTTTCTTTGTATGCAATTGAAGCTACAACTTTGACAAATCCATCTGAAATTATTCTCACATCAATTATTTCTGTAGAGACTAAAGTAACCAATATTTATTTTCAAAATTAGCATCATTTCCCGTGAAGGAAGTCAAAACCCAAACTGCCGTAAGTTTAAAGATTATCGAATCACAATTATTTAATTTTAAATGAATGAAAAAAATTGGTTGGTGAAATATGTGTTTTGAGATTTTTTGAAAATAAATTTTGTAAAAAGTGATTTATTATTTTTTTTCTTTTTAAGAATGTATTGATCATTTTATACCCCCAACGTGGACATCGATTTTTGATTAAAAATATAGATGCACTTTCCTTCTTCCTTGGTTATTGAGATCATTCCCAATACACATGGTACTTTTTTCTTATAGCATTAGCATGATTATAGACATATTTCACGTGATACAAATTAATTATTTCATTAATATTTATTATTTTTGTAATATAAAATTTCTCTGTGTAATTTTCATGATTTTATTAGGAAATTTATATAGAATATGATATAAAAAAATTTCGAAATTTTACATTCGAAAAAGTCATATTTCATGTAAATTTTCGGATGCAAAATAACATGGGGTGTGATTTTTTTGGATGTAAATTTTCGATTGTAAAATTTCTCCCAACTTTTTTACAAGTTCGATTACGCCCCCCCTAACTATAATTGTCTACGTCCGCCCCTGCAATCAAGTCCAAAGGTTCGACCCGAAAACAACGTTGGCCGTTGGAAGTAGCTTCAAGAATTGATGTTGATCACGGCTCATATATATTAAGGGAAAAATTCATAAGTAAGAGGATAAATATCTCCTATTTCAAAATTAAGAAAACAAGTTTGAAATTTCAAACATTAGATTTTTATTAAATTTTATTATGATTTAATTAATTAAATATAATGATGTCATAATTATACAATTAATGGTCACAGGTACACAATTAATTGGTCACGGATTATTTTTGAAGTCACAAATCAAAAATTTTATAGGTCACGAATTATTTCGAATAAAAAATTTTATAAGTCACGAATTATTTCGAGGTCACATTTCAGAACGTTTATAGGTCACAGTTTGTTTATCGGTCACAAATCCAAATTTTTGGAAGTCAAGAATTATTTCGCGATCACAAATCAAGAATTTTATAGGTCACAGATTATTTTATTGGTCACGGATCAAAAAATTACAGGTCACAGATTAATTTTTAGTCACAGATTGTCGAATTTTAAGGTCACGGATTGATTTTTAGTCACAAATTGTAGAATTTTAAGGTAACAGATAGTCCACCATCACCGGCATCTCCCCACTGCAGCACCTAATCACCACTACCGACTACACACCATCACCCCCCCCCCCCCCCGCCCCCCNAAATGCGTGCCTCGCAGGAACATTAAAATCACCTCCCGACTGCACGTTACACTGCCCCACTACTCAACCAGCGAACCACACCAAATCGACCATCACAAATCACACACAACTCCACAGATCTGTGCGAAGAAATCAAATTAAGAAAAAAAAAATTGATTCGCTCCGCCTTCGCCGTGATCCAGCACCACCACCCCTTTTTTTGGTGAGAATTTCGTTTCCAGCCTCTTTTTTTTTTTCTTTTTTGTTTTTTTGACAATGAAAACAAATTTCAAAATCAATTGTTAAAAAAAATCACTTTAATGGACAATTTCTATGTAAAACAAAGTCAAACGAATACTAAACTTTGATAAAAATGATTTTTTAGGAAACAGTTTTTTTTTTTTTTCTTCTTTTTGCAATGGAAACAAATTTTATAACCAATTGTGGAAAAAATTATCATTTTAATGGATAATTTCTATATAAAACAAAGTCAAACGAACACAAAATTTAAAAAAATTTCGGGATGGAAAATTGTACCAATCAAACACACTTAATTAACAATTTCCTGGAAAATAATTTATAGGTAATTACTTTCCCTGAAATTCATTTTCTTTCCACACATTTTCCACCATTGCAATCAAATGAACCCTAATTTCTTATAATTGATTCAAGATTGTAATATAAGATGGGGTATGATAACAGGTCATGCCCCCAACTTTTTTGAACCAGGTTGTTTTATACAGTCTTGGGCTATTTGGACTATCCAATTCTTAGTGAATAGTGGGCGTGGAGATTAATCTAATTCAAATCTACTTTTCTTAAAAAATATTCTGAATTTTAACTGGAAAATTCAAGCAAATGACATCAAATATGGAATGAAAATAACTTTTGTTACTTGTTTTATAAGTATATTTTCTTAGCCCATGTTTGGTTCGAATTAAAGTCTGATTTTAATTAAAGTCAAAGTCAAACAATCAATATTAACCACATCTTTAATGGGTGCCACAATTTTTCAACCACACATTTCAAAAACTTTTATCACAATCTATTAAAAATCCAATTTCAATTCTCATCAAACACCCTCTTATAAATTTATGCATCATCATATACTTTATCACCCCTAATATGTCGGTCTATTTTACAATATTTTTATTTTGGAATAATGTTATCTAATATTATTGGTACTACAGCACCAATCTAAGTGACACTATGTGATGAGTCAATTAAATGTAGAATTATGTGACTTACTTAATTATGCATCGCGTTTAATATCACTTACTGTTGTCTAACACCAGTGACGAAATTTGCGATTTATTGATCGCATCATTTGCGATTTATCCTTCTAGACATACCATTATGTCGGGCATATGTAGTGGAGTTTCGTGTGAAAGAATTTTATTCTCTAATACAATCTCAAAATTCGCCACTCAAATATTCTTCACTTTGATCAAATCTAAATTAGAATATTTTTCCCAATTTGAATTTTTCTTAACTCTTGAACCTTTCAAAAAACTTCAAATTTGAATCTATGGTCATATGTAAATATGATGAGATAAGAAAGATAATCTTTCATTAAAATATGTCTACCTACATCCAAGTGTATCGGGCTTAGTTGATCATCAACATTTACTCAATTTGGAGTAAGAGATGACTTAGTAATATTACCTAACAAGAAAGATTTGCATACCTTATATTTTTCAAAATCAACTGAATTTAAGTATTCATTACTATGTAATATAGATTTGCATATCTGATTCATATGGCTACCCTGCAATCTCGGAGATAAGTGTGATTTCTTTTACACCTGTTGTAATTGTCAAGATTTAAATTGTGGATCTTTTGTCATTGTATTATCTTATTGAGAGGAAAAAAATAAAATAAAATATTATTCTTAATCTCATTGCGCCCCAGTTTGGTTTAGATAAAAATCATTGTTTTAGTATATTTCGCTAAAAATCGATACATGCCTTGTTTGACTTTCTTCAAATTAAAACTTTATTTCTCGTTATCAATTTCAACCATACATTCATATTCTGCACGTAAACCTGAAACATTTTCTTACTTTTTAACCACTCATTCTTTTAAAATCACTATGACACTATTCAAAATATTATTTTTTTCCCCAATTTTTCTTTATAATGGCTGTCAAACAGGGACAAAATGTGTAGTTGACATGTTGTGTATCCCATGAAATATGTGATTAAAAATTAATTGTTGGGTTTGAATAAATCTTCAGTGTTCAAATATGAAACGTAAGTGTTGTTCTATGCAAGAACTGAAATATAACAATTATCTAATTCTAAAACTAGACAAGAATGCAAATGTGAATGATAGCTTCCTATATTTGATTCAGCAACTTTTGATCCATCTCCTATATGTAGATCTATTACTTTCTTTTGCAGTACACTACTACTTTCAAACCTTACATATTTGAACAAACATGCGATTCACGTCAGGTATCTAGTATTCAAGTGGCTCAGGAAATAGACAGGTTAACTATCAAATAATTGTCTGATATAGAAGCTTCACCAAGCTTCTGGTCGATTATGAAAGCATTGCAATTTTCACATGTAAAATGGGTTCATAAGCATTGCAACTTAAATTCCTTTTGCTAAAAGTAGTAAGATTAAAAGTAATTCACTGCCAAATATTAAGCCCTGATAGGATTAAAATCATATTTTTAGTAGATTTTGATGACTGAGTCAAGGCTTGATTCAGTGAGTTGTACATATTTTTTTTACTTTCATCTTAGGCAGGTAATAATATTTTTTACCATAGTTATTATGTGTGTATACGTGTACAAGTTGATCCGTGCATGGACTCGTGCATGAAATCTGTGTGGTAAATATTTAACGTCGAGTCCTAAATGAATCTAGTCGCAGATGAAGATCCATATTAAATGCCTATTAATTCTCATTCTCTCTATCTCGCATTTCTATTAATTCACCACGCAGAAGCACAAAGCACAACACAGAAAACACACAGACAAACTGTCATGAAGACATCAAAGAATAATCTCCTTTTCTTGTTTATCAATCTTTGTATTATTGCAGTCCAGATCAGTGCATCCCATGCCGAAGAAGAACGAAAAGTAATTTTTATACTATTAAGAAAATCTGCATGTAATTGGAGTGATTTCTGAAAGTGTTTTTTTTTTTAATTGCAGCCTTACATTGTTTACATGGGAGAATTGCCAGAGGACAGGAAATTCTTGATAGATGAACACCACAGCCTACTTTCTAAAACAATTGGAGAGTAATAATAACATCTATATATACTATAGAACGCCTTTTGGATCAACTGAAATATGAAAGAAAATATGTTTAATTTTTCTTGTTTCTGTATTTTCAGTGAACTGATAGCTAGAAATTCCAAGATACACAGTTATGGAAGAAGCTTTAATGGATTTGTGGCAAAACTACTGCCTCATGAAGCGGAAATATTATCGAGTATGTAATAATGCATTAAATCTTCTGATTTTTACTGTTTTCTTGAACCATTTCATTTTCGATATTGATTTATTTTTCCAGAGAAAGAAGGAGTTGTTTCTGTATTTCAAAACAAGGTGCAGAAGCTTCTCACGACAAGATCCTGGGATTTTCTTGGGATGCCATTGACGGTGAGAAGGAAACGGGAAACTGAGAGTGATATGATTGTGGCTCTTTTGGATACTGGTAAAGTCGAATTTGCTCTTTTTAAGATTTCTACTTGTGCTTTTACTTTTTCTGACTTATGCTTATTTTTGGTTCTTTTTCATTTTTTGATCTAGGGATATGGATACAGTCCCCTAGCTTCAATGATAAAGGTTTTGGACCTCCTCCTGCTAAATGGAAAGGCAAATGCATGAAGGCTGGAAACTTCACTGGATGCAACAAGTAATTCTCCCTTATGGACCTGCTACAAATATATATTCACTTAGCTAGTTATGTACCATTTGATCTATGCCAATTTGGGCAAATTGCTAGTGTATTTGACAGTGACTCTATTTTCCTTTGACAGCAAAGTCATTGGTGCTCAGTTCTTCAAACTTCAAAACGATGGGCAAGAGGAAGAGAAGTCTCCGGCTGATTCGGATGGACATGGAACCCACACCGCGTCGACTGCTGCAGGAAATTCTGTACATGGTGCAAGCTTATATGGCATTGCCGAAGGCACTGCTCGTGGTGGAGTTCCATCAGCCCGTCTTGCTATATACAAAATATGTTGGATAATGGGATGCACAGACATGGACATATTAGCGGCATATGATGCTGCCATTGCTGATGGAGTCGATATCATATCAGTATCCTTAGGAGGGTACCCTCGGGATTTATTTGAAGATCCAATTGCCATTGGATCCTTTCATGCCATGAAGAAGGGAATCTTGACTTCATGTGCAGCAGGAAATGATGGACCTGATTTGGAAACTATAGAAAATGTTGCACCATGGATCTTGACTGTAGCTGCTACTAGCATCGACAGACGATTTGAAGCTCCTGTTACATTGGGGAATGGAGAGAATTTTACTGTAGGTCTCTTCTACCTCCACATAAATCCTTCCATCAGTTATTCTATAACATGTTTCATTTTCTCTTCACAGGGTATTGCAATCAATACATTTGAACCAAAAGAGCGTATGTACTCTTTAACGAATGGAGCACACGCGCAAAATATTTCTGGAAATCCAGTTGGGAATATCAGGTAAAGATCTAGATTCTTAAAACAAATGGCTAATGCTGATATATAGCTACTGATATATACGGTTCTGTCACAGTGCCTGCGATTATGGGACGCTGAACCAGAATAAAGTTAAAGGAAAAATTGTGTATTGTTTAGGAAATGGCGGTCAGGACCTCATCATCGGGGAGTTAGGTGGAGCAGGGATTATCATGTCAAATGAATTTACAACAGACATAGCCTTCCCTAATCTGATACCAGGCACTTTTGTCAGTGTTAATGATGGTGAAAAGATTGATAAGTACATCAATTCCACTAGGTTCGTTATATTATTTTCCATTCACTGCACCGTCTCCAAGTTGTTAAAAATGTCGTCATTTTCTTGAGTTGTGTTAATTTCAGGTCTGCGCAAGCCGTTATTTCCAAAACGATAACTGCATACATGACAGCGCCTTTCGTTGCTTCATTTTCATCAAGAGGTCCCCAGACATTGAGTTCAAACATCCTCAAGGTATATATACTCCTCGTCATCGACTTTTTCCTTCTGTTTTACAGTTTCTGAACAAGTTTCTTATCTGACAGCCTGATATTGCTGCACCGGGGCTTGATATTTTGGCGGCCTATTCTGAATTGACAACAATGACAGCGGAACAAGGTGACAAAAGGATTGTGAAATACAATATTATATCTGGTACATCGATGGCTTGCCCTCACGCTTCGGGAGCAGCTGCCTATGTCAAATCCTTCCATCCTGATTGGTCCGTTGCTGCAATTAAGTCTGCTCTAATGACCACCGGTAAGCTCCTAAATTTGTCGAGGGAAGTTCATACCTCTGCGTGTTTATTTTCCGACTATATAATGTCGACATGTTGCTGCAGCAAAATCCATGAAGATCAAACCAGTGGGGGCAGAATTGGCCTCTGGCTCAGGTCAAATAAATCCAAGAGTCGCATTGCACCCTGGCCTAGTTTATGACATTCAATACGACAATTACATTAGCTTTCTCTGCGGACAAGGATACAACAAGTCAGCTATAGCAATGTTAACAGGAAACAAAAAATACAATTGCTCAAGCTTCCCTGTTGCAAAAGGAGCAGACGGGTTAAACTATCCGTCCATACATATTTATCTGAACAATTCTAAAACTTCCTTTTCGGAGATATTTTATCGTACTGTGACTAATGTTGGTATTGGAAAATCAGTCTACAGAGCAAGTATTAGGTCTCCAAAGGGTCTTTCTGTCACTGTTGTACCGAAAATTCTGACTTTCGACAGCCCAAACCAGAAGAGGTCTTTCAAAGTGATGGTGAAGGGCAAATTTCTTAGGGAGAGTTCATGGGTTCTCTCTGGGAGAATAGTCTGGAGTGATTCCAAGCATAATGTTAGGAGTCCTATTCTTGTCTTCAGGTCATAAAATTCCAAGTGTTCTTCAATGTAATGCTACATTTTCAAGATTTCATGCTTCTGCAAATATATCAATGGAACTCAACATGTAAAACCTCCTTTGAACTTACGGTAATTTTTTGAATTAGCAGATGAAATCAAGTCCTATAAATCACACCACTAAGATCCTCTTACATGACCCGTGTGGCCTAAAATTATAATTCATTTTTCTCTCTTTTTATCAATCACACTTTTCAATAAAATAATATTACACGTAAACTTAAAACAATTTCTTCATGGGGCCAAACTGAAGAGAACCAAATCTCACAATGTACTAAATCGAGAATTGAAGACACAAGTTCTCGTCTAACTTCCAATGACTTACTGTGATTCTTTTCAAAATCATACTACATATGATTTCCCATATTATGCCAGATTCTGCTTGTCAAAGCAGTTGTGTTCTACTTTATTTACCCAGAGAATCAGAAGTACAGGGTTAAAGAGTCATAGAAAAGCATCATTGACGAAAGCCTTGTGTTCAATTTTCCGCGTTTTATGTACAAGACAAAGATCTATCTGGCCATCATACATCAAGGATTACTAGCTATCCATCCGAAACGAAATATCTTAACTTCAAAATATAAAGGCCGCTGTTCAGATCTTTTGCCTGAAACATGTTCTGGTCCTTGTCTTTGAGAGAAGAGAATACAATTTTGTATTCTTCACTAGCACTTGCCAGAAGCTTTACTGCTTGTACCATTATAACGGCAATGGAGATTCTTCAGTTTCTGCAATTCCTTCCTCTTCCTCCTGGCCTCAGTTGATGCACTGTTGTCCTTTGACTTCCCACTAGACCAGATAATCACTTTTTCATTGTCCAGCAAAGCCTGTGCCATATGCTCAGGGTCAGAAGAAAGAGCTTTGACACCGGAAGAATCATCTACCTGGGCATTTCTACAACGTCCAAAACTTGCTGCCTGTCCGGTGCAACTTGGCGGTGCAGAAACATTGATAGCCCCTTTAGTTTGAGGCTCCAATTGCTGACCACCATCACCTGGTGAAAAACTAAACCTAGTTCCAGGGATATTTCCTAGAGATACGGTTTGCATAGAATGAGAAGCTTCTGGCATCTTTTTTGTGTTTGGCAACAACTGGTGGTTGTCTGCATGCACCGGAGTATCTGAAGAGGAACATGTGCAGCATCGACAACTGGGTGAATTCTCATTTTGTCTGTCGTTAAGGGCTGGCTGGGAGTTAAGTGTACTACTATGAGCGAGAAAAGGAAAAGGCCAAGGTACAGGGAATACAAATACAGGAGCTCCTAGCTTATTAAGACTCGTGGAGTTATCTTTTGCTGGATGTGAACACAGCATATCCCTCAGTTGTAGAGGAAGTTGTGATGACATGGCAGCATCATCATACGATGCACATTGTACTCGGAAAACATCTGAAGATGGACCAACGGGAGGCCAAAAGACGGGTAATCCAAAAGGTTGGTTGCAGACGAAAACTGGAGGGGTTCTTGAGGCAGAAGTAGATTTCTCAGCCTGGGCAGACGACTCTTCTTGAATTTCTTTGGTTTCAACCTCTTTTTTCTTAGCCATCTGCAAAGGGAAAAGGCAATGTTGATGATATTTCCTTATGATAAGACCGCTACCTTTCATCCGTGTTCCTTACACGTACTTTGAGACATTCATTTCTGGTTTTCAAGGAATTGTACACCTTTATGACCAGCTCCTTTTCCTTCATCAAAATTTTGAATAATCAGCGTAAGAAAATGAAATGTGACCAGGTTCAAGAAACACAAATGAGAAAATATTAAAAGAAGCGATATGACTTTTCCAGTGCGATGCCCTATCAAGTGACATGCCCAAAAATTAAATTGGGAAAACAAATGCTACCAACCCTCTTCAAATGCTGATTTTCTGCTGAAAGTTCAGCTGCTTTCTGAGTTAGCTCTGAGTACAATGCCTAGTGAAAAAATAATAATAAAAATAGAAAAGATTATAATAGATAAAATGATCAACTGGGATAATCATTGTAAACAATATGTACATTGAGTAAGTTATATAATACTAGCACCGCATATGAAGCAACAATACCCCAGTCCTAATCCAAAAGGACAGTGCTGCTATTCACAATCCCACTCCAAGAAAAAGCAATAAGAATCATAACAAAGAATACAGACAGAAATAGATCATAAATAAACCAAAGAACTATAGAAAAAAGTAACACAATCTATTTCGACAGAAAACCTTAGTAAGAATAGGCAAACCTCTACCAAATCTATACCTGCAATATTCAAATCTAGGCAGCTGTTATTGGAGCCTAGCACTTGCAACCAGGATTTCACAAATATATTCCCAATGTGGAAAGAAATTATAGCCAGCCAACTTTTAAAATAGGCCAACCTGCGTCATTATATGCTTATATTCTTGAACTTTTTGAGTTTTATCATGAATGATCACATTTAAATGGCAATTAATAGCGCTAACCATGCAGATATTAATTTTTTGGTGTGCGTCACAGTATTCCTTCTGTTTTCCAATCACAGGGTCTCTTCTGCATAAGATTATCCTTCAGAACGTCACGTCTACTAAAGCTCTCATAATAAAGTTCAATCCAGGCAGCATCAATTGGAATCACAAGGCCACCCTGCTAAATAAGGCAGCTGAGCCTTGTTATCTTTTAATTATTTCCTTGCACTTTAAGTCATTAAGGGGTGTTTAGCCTTTAATTATGTATTAGGACTTCTAATTTTGTCATTATCTTTTAATATAGTGGAACTACTCATTTTCTGAACGCAAATATATGACTACATCTTTCTGTGCCATTGGACCCCAGAGAATTCACTAATGGATAACTTAAAAACAAAAAATCCATTTCATAATTCAAGAAAATGGAAGCATTATATTTAGGCTGTATAATTCTCCAAAGCAAAATTGACAATACCATGAGTGATGAACCATTTCCTCAGAAATTGAGAAAGAAGAGTGACCAAAAACCTGAAGAAACGTATTAGTTCTTCTATAAAAAGAAAGAGAAAGGTGAGGGAGGAACATATCGTGTGGGACCCGATTATCACTAAAGGTGTTGTTTATCAACTTATCCAGAGAAAAATGAGAAGAGACTATAAAGCAGTTGACTTAACAAACTTGGTGGCTCAAATCACTCCCCATTATGTACTAGTAAGGATTGGGATCAACGTGCATATTTTAGAAAGCAAAAGGATGTCTACTCAACATACTCTGTGTAACAAATTTAACATTTATGCAATTAGGATAATGCCACTTGTACACCCTTCTTCTACATCATGCTTGACATTACCATTGTTGTCAAGAAATGATTGGTTGAAAAAACCTTTTTTTTAGAAACTGTGTAATCGTGTATTGCCACGTGTCAGATTGTAAAACTTAGTGTACACCATGATGTACACCAAGCATGATTAATACAATTAAGTTCTAGAAACTAAAACCAAGTTCAACAGAGATTTCCTCTCGATGAATGAAAACATTCAAGGTCCTTGCTTGGATGCTCTAAACCATTGACAAATCATAGCATTATCCTGATTTCACCCTTTTACAACTCGTCCATTTAGACACTCCTCAAAAACTTACATGAAGTCTCATTATCAATGAAGGGAAGGACAAATATAAATGTGAGTAATTATTCCAGCAAAGGCAGAATAATATGGTCTAAAAAAGGTGAGTAGGAGAAGATGAATAGAACCCCATTGTCTGTAAGAAGTGTAGTTAGTAACCACAATTAGACGATGTGAAGCCCATGTAGCGTACCTGTCTGCGGTGAATTGTCCGCCTAGCAGATTCTCTATTTGCTAAGACACGACGACGCCTTTGTGCTTCCTTTTCAGCCTGAGTAGAACAACAAAAAATAAGGAGAAAAGAACATAACATGATAAAATCAAAGAATAGAACCAAGTGTTGTGTACCTTTGACAATTCCTGCCTCGACTTGATGGCAGAATTCAAAGGATAACTTGTACTGCACATTTGATGAATAGTAGTTTCGAAATTTTTCTCAGGGTTTACAGGTTTAGCTGCCGAAGTAGACAAATTTCCAGAAAACTTTGATCCTGATATACACAAAAAGACTGCTCAAGTCCTGCAACAAAGAGCATGGTGCAATTTGGTGACAAAGTTACATCCTGGTGTAGAACATATGGCCGTGTGGATTGAAGAATGGTGGGACCAAAAAGAGAAAAATAGTAAATTGCAAATTTGACGTTCAAGCTCCAATTTGGGCCCATAAAATGTTTTCGGAAGGAGAACATCGAGCCGGACTGAACTCGTTGCTTTACTGTGATATATGATGGATTTTAGTCATCCAAGTTTGTTTAAGACTCGAAAATTGCTTTTAAAATTTTATTGCTATTTTTGTCATTTATTTTATTTCGAATTCTTTTCAATTTTAGTTCCTTTAAAATTATAAATAAAGTGTTAATTATTCGTTTTTTGAGCATCTTGACATTAATAAAATTTTGCGAGTATATTTTTTTATTCTGATTCTAGTTTCGGCGTTCTTAAAGTTTTTGCTTGAAATTCTTGTTTCGCGCTGCGTCAATCGTTGAGATATAATCATTGAAATCGACTGTTCCCATAATTAGTCAAGTCATTTACCAACTTCACGTTGAGCAAAACTATAGTCTCAATTTAATAGGAACAAAGACTATCAGTAAATACAAAGGTTTGTTTTTCTCACGAAATGATAGTTACTAGTTCAATCCTAAAATCACTCAATAGATAAATAACGAGGAATTAAATTTATCAATTAAAAGCAATAAGTCACTTTTTAATTGTTCTAGATGTTTAGTCACTCAAATCAAGTTATCATATGTTGAATTGCCGCAATAATAAATAAAACACTAAATAACACAAGATTTGACGACGGAGAAAACCCTCAACTTGGTAAAAAATCCGGGACCAAACCAGTAATTTCCGCCATAGACAATAAGAACTTATAGTATAATATAGCCTAGAAAACCCACTAGACTTGCTGATCTAATTCCTACAATATCCCAAACCCGCTGAAACGTGCTTCACTCACACCTGCTCCCGATCTTCTGAAATTGTCTATCTCCTGTGGAACATCAAGAAAGCCTCGTTCTTTTACTCTTCGTGTGCTTCTGGTCCAACCTCCCTCAATTTCAACAACTTCTGAAAGCTATTGAGAAAGTACATTCCTGATGATGTCTACGAAGTTGGTGTTTTGGATTATATAAATTTGATGTTTTTTCCCAAACTTGTGGTTGATTGATCTCAGTAATCAAAAGGTTAATCTAAATATTTGGATGTGTTCTTGAATATTGGAATAATAATATAAGGATGTAAAACACTGATCAACCACACAAAAAACGTAATGAACATTTGGTATTTATAATAAGGGGAGTTTAGGTAGTGTAGGATAGATAATACTCTTGAAAAACGCAAACTAAGCTTTCTCGGAAAACACCATCGCTCGAGCACCAAGCGAGGCGAAGACTAGCATAAATCCGGCGACTCTTTCTTCTTGTTTCATACTCGGACCTAAAGACTCCTCGACTTTTAAAACCCTTTGGTAACAATCCTATTCTTTTAGGATAATCCTTTTGTTTAAAGAATTGCTAATACAACTAAAAACCTAACACAAAAGATGTTCACTTTCTTACAATTGGGGATCTGTTTCTCTTCTGTAAATTCAATCACTATATGCTTAGTTTCAGTATTAATTACGTGAAATGTTATCAATTTCATCGCTTGATTATATGTCAAGGTATCCGCCGTAGTTTTCCCATCTACAGAGCTTTCTTAACAGTCTAAAAAACCCCACCTTAAAAAACGGAAAAGTACTAAATCAATCAAGAATCATAAAACCATTACAGTAGTTTGACAAATGAAAAGTGCAACACATTCGCGAGCAGCCGCATATATGTATATGTACGTTTTTGTGAAAGTAAAGAACCTCGATGAAGTCTGAAGAAGTGGGTACATACTGACTCGGCCTGGAGTCGCTCTTCGGGAAGGTCCGACGCAGAGGAGTACCGAGCCATGGCCGCCAGTGATTCCGCCGCCTCTAACTCACGCGTCACCGTTTTATCATCGACCTTCGCCTCTTCACAAAATTTCTCACACTCCATTTTATCAAAAGCAACCCAGCTTTCTCTTCGTGCTGGGTGGACATGGAAAGGAATGGAATATATACAGAAACTTTGAGAGGGAGACGAGACAGAAAGAGAGTGAGTGGGTCCCATGGAGTTCCGTGGGAGAGAGACACGTATTGTTAAGCTTTGTAAACACAAGTTCCAAGTACGAACCCATGCGTGTGAAGCTGGTCTGATCCATTTGCCTATGTCAGCAAGTCACGGTCGCGTCACGTGCCAAAAGTCATGCAAATTGGTTTAATTGGACAGATACTTGGCCTTCTTTGGCATTTCAGTGTGTACTTGCGTAGTGGCTACGTGGACATGTGAGAATACTCAAAATAAGATTTGAAGAATAAAGTCATTTGAGCCACGTTAAAATTATTATTTTCATTTTTTTACTCATTTTCAATCACTTTCTTTAATAAAATAATATTTTTCATCACATCAATAACTTTTTCCTTCTTTTTCAACCACCATTCTCTATCAATCTATTATTTCAAAATACATTCTTCCAAAATAATGTGCTCAAACACACCCAAAATGTACCTGACGCATCACCAAATTATTTCACAATTATAGAAAATTACTCAAAAGTAATGATCAAATCAATCTTCAGAATTTCCTTCAATCCGTGGTTGGTATCTAGCTGAGTCAGTAAGTGTTGATCATTCACTTCTAAGTATTTGAGTTTCGATCTTATTTTATGTGTTAAAATATTAGGGGCCGTTTTCGTTGTGTTTCACTTTTGTGTTTTGAGTTTTGAATTCATTTTGTGTTTTGAGTTTCTGTTTTGAAATTTCTGAAAATGCGTTCTTTTTGACATTTTGAAAAACTGTTTTTGAAAACATAAAAATGGAAAATGCGTTTACTTTGAAATTTTGAGAATTTTTTTTAATAATATTTTATTCGAGAAATCTGATTATTCAATAAGTTTCAATAGTTTAATGTTAATATAGTATTAAATAACATACATTTTGGAGTTGATGAATTTTGAAATATTTTTTTTCCAAATATAAAAAATATAACATAAATTAAATTTGGCAAATTCTTATTTTTGTCTTTATACGTAACTTGTGACAATAATTAATTAGCATCAAGTCACAATCAAACATAATCAAGTTACAAAAAGGGGGATCACTAATCTCATGTTGACATGTTAATAAATATTTTGAATAAGAGGTGCAGCGAGTTCGGAGTCCCCTCTAAAAATCTGACCCTCTTCGGCATTAACCAAATGAACCCCATTCTCGCCACTTCCAACTGATAAACGAAAACCTTCACGTCGACACAAAAAGGCAAATAGAACAATTCTTGCCATTCTCACCAGCACATGTACAAAAATCCAACCTTTCAACAAAAAGAATCCCCCAAAGAACATTCCAAACCTCTTTAAGAAGGGAGATTGCCTTCTAGCTTGAGATTAAGGCTCTGAATCAAACAGCCAAATATGTTGTCAAGTAGTATAATCCTTTCTACGAAACAATCATTAGTGTCATACGAAGTTTTACACCGTGAACGTAGATCACTCTTTTCCTTTACCTAGGAAATGGCAATAAATATGACTAGGCACGAAATAGCTACTCATATTATAGAGGTTCCTTCATCAAGCAGTCTTTTAAAAACCAATTATAGATGCTACGTATGCAATAAAAGTACTCAAGAATTACTAGAATGAGAAAATAGAAGAGGTCAAAAGAAAAGGAAAAATTAACAAATTAACTAGCTTCAAGATTCAGCACGGATGTCAACAATGAGAACCAAGGTATTATTATCCTCAATCTTCTTCATAGCTGACTCAGTGGTCAAGGGATATTTGAGGATTTAGTAGTGGTCCAATTTGTTCCTTGGAGGCGCACTGCTACGTGGGTCCTTGGGGTTTCTGTCCTTCTTCCATGTCTTTGGCCTGTGGAACGTAACTTTTGAGATGATCTTTATTGATTAGGCCTGTGGAATGTAACCTTTGTGATGATTTTCTTTGATTTCTTCTTGATTGTTGAAGAGCGTGCTTTCACAGCCTTCGCAGTCTTCAAGGCCTAAGCCTTTGGATCGACCTTTTTTGTACTATCCACTGTGAAAAATGCAAATGCAAATGCAATGATAAGATAGTATTAACAAAATGCATTTATCATACAACAAGAATAATAGATTTGGGTAGATATTAAGGCTCGAAAAATAAATGTAAACCATTATTATGAGTATAAAAAATTTTAACTTGTATATCATGTTTAATGAGGTTCTTTAACCATTTAATGACATGGAATCTCAATTTAAATAGCTTCTATGGGTTGAATATACCATTGAGGAGAAAAATCTCAAATCGAAAGAAAAAGCTCCTGCAAGAAACAGAGTTCTGGGCATGGCACTTGTCAACCTTTCAAATTTACAGCCCATAAAGAGAAACAAAAGCCATCATTTTCTTAGGGCACAACTAAACAAATATCACCTCACAACTAATTTGGACCGAGTTCAATTAATTAATTCCAGGAAATCCAGTTTAACCATCCCAGGAAACTCCTCCAAAGAACACGCTTTAACCAAAGAGACAACCTCAAGAAAACAAATTAGAAAAAGAGAATGCTTTTTAAATGCCCCATTGATTTACGAACGAAAAATAAAACTTTGTCAATATAACAGAGTCCATACAAACCCAAAACTTGCAACTAAATCTACAATTTTTTAGTAATAATGTACAATAAATTAAAGTTTAACCAAAATTACTCAGAGCAAATTACTATTAAGTTCTAAAACTTTACAATACAATATAATTATCCACATAAACACTAATAAATAAGATATAAACTATAAGGTTAAACACATACCTTTAGCAGGAGCCATTTTTGATTACTGCGAACACAAACCCTACCTGTTAAAACAGAATTCAAATACTATTTTGAATAATAAATCGAACCACAACTAGGCTCAAACATAGAAATGAAATTGTATGCATGTTTCGAACCTGGAGAAAGAGAAAGAATTGCTGCTTCTGCAGCTAGGGTTTTGAAATTGATATATATTGTACAGGTTTTGGGCGCTTCTACAGTTCT